AGAACCTAGACTCGTCAGATTTCGGGAGAGAACGCATCAGGAGGCAAGAAAACACATCTTGGAGAAGATTTTGAACAAGAGTAACGAAGGATTTCATGAAAATCATCGAGATTTCACGCGAATTCAAAACCTTGTGGTGTTTTATCTTCAAGAAATTACGTATTTTGTTATTTTCTCCATGTTAGGCTAAATATTTTTGTACCAGGAGATCGATGAACCATGTGATGTGATCTTTGGATTTCTAGTTTTGCAATTCGACATTAAAACACGTATTTGATTATTTGAATGATTTATATACATTAATTGACTTCCATAATTAGGTGCATGTAATTATGTTATGTGTGGTGATTTATTTCTTACATTCGAGAGGAGGGCAATAAATTTGACAAGGTATAAATTTTCGTAGGGTTCGATAGAGTATAGAGATATACCCCTATGCTTTGCTTGAATCTTCAAGTGCTCATAAAACCACATGCATTCTTATATTTATGCATCCATTATAGAGATATAGACCGGTAGTATATGAGAATAGGTTCAATACTACTCGAGAGAGAGTGCTGGATAGATTTAGGAGTATTGATTTTTCAATAATTCAATCGTGTTGTCATTTTGTGAAACTAAAGTTTAAGGTGCTCATTGAATGAGAATTCGTGATCCTAGTACGTTTAATTCTCATTGAATAAAATTCAACTTGCGTTCCAACCATCATATTGCAGTCCAATTCATTTAAATACATTGTTTTGCGTGTTTAATTAATTTAAATATCACTTTAGCAAAATTAGGGTTTTATATAAGTAGGGTTTTTCTAAATCAGGGTTTCTTAGGTTAAAAATTTATTTTTTGATAATTTCGTTTCGGTTAAGGCTAGGTTAGATAAAATTGAACTACTCAATCTCTATGGGATAATATTCGGACTCAAATTTTCCACTTTATTTCTTGTTGCGAGCCGTACACTTGCGGTGGTTTAAATCAAAAGAATAATTTCGTGAACAAACTGCATGAATTAAAGTGATTTTATTACTTGGTGTAATTGTTTGCATGTATAGTGGGTTGAGATGCATTAGCAATGTGTTGAGCATCTTTTGGTAAGGTGGAGTATAGATGCCTACGGTTACATTGGTGGCTTGTACCGAGGATGTGGAGTGTGACATTTGATTCACAAGAGGAGAGGTGATTAAATGTTGGAATCCTTTATCGACGAAGAGACCTTGATCAGGTGGAGAGTAAGAGAGACATTTTTCTCACTTTTATTAGGTAAAGACACATTATCCATGTAAGTTGGGAGAAGTGATGTGGTGATAGTAGATTATCCCATGCACTTGTTAAATAGTTTGGATTATATTTTATAGGCCTTCACCAGTGAGTAAAATAATTATCAATAATCAAGTTCAAAGGCTCAACCAGGCCTATTTATATTACCTCCTGAATGACTTTAAATCTTGACCCATTTAACCTTATTATTGGTCCAACTAAAGCCTAACATAATCCTACATATATGTGCTTACCTAGCCTTTTTTAATGTGTGATTCCTATGTGGGAAAGGGTGAAAAATGTGTGCCATATAGAAGAAAAATAGCTGCCTTTGTGCTTCCAATCGGTGGATTCATTTTTGTATTTTGGTCTCTTCTCTTGCCTTCTTCCATTGTTTTTCCCATGCCCTTGTAACTTGTAAATTATCACCTTATCTTGTTTTTTGGGTGAAATTGAGAAACAATTGAGGTGAATATATTGGTCGTGGATTGGAACTGTTTGAATTAGGTGGTTGGTAAAGAAAGTTAACGTGAAATTGAGTCAGAAAAACACTGTTTTGACGATCATTGGAGCGAGCTTTTGTGACACACGTGAAAATAAGCATTTAAATATTAAAAAGCAAGTATTGAAATTAATAAAACCTGGTTAAGCTGTATCAATCATCCTAATATCAAGACCTTAGCTTATCCTATACACACGATAAAACGGAGAAGATTTGTAGAAATACATGGCAAGTTCTTAGAGAAAAATAGTGGGTAAAATACAAAACAAAATGTAAAATCCTTTCCCTGGTTGGATTCTTGAAATGAGTATTGGCTTGGTATTGATTTTGGCCCAAAGTCTCTTCACCGTTCTCTGATTTTTCTCTTCATCTACCTTTGTACCCTAATTTCTTCTCCCCACCTTCCCTCCAAAATGAGTGTATAGATGAGTAAATGAAGAATGGGACTCAAGTGGCTGGAAAATGACTTAAATATACCTCAAAAACATCCTCAAAATATTACCAAAATGCTCCTAAGAGAAGGTATAGAACCCAGGCAAAAAGGGGGCGCTAGTAATGCGAGCCTAGGTGCTACCTGTTTAGATACTAATTTGAGTCAAAATTAACAATTAATTTTAACCATATAATTCATGAGATTCACAACTTTTTAACCACATGTTTTTATCAACTTTTAAAAATATCTATTGAAAATTTTATTTCAATCCCCATCAAGGAGAGCTATAACTTTGAGGATAGATCTAACTGAAAAGGGGATAAAGGAAAGTTAAAAAAGAACAAATGAGCTTTTTACAATATAGCTTGGGGCTAACATAGACCCAAAAATTTTGTGATGTCCCGTACATATTTAGCCATTGAGAAGGGTAAGTGGGCTTTCGTAAGAGAACCAGAATAATCAGATTGTACTACGCAAAATTAATTATGTTACTGAAATCTTCACACATCAAAATGAATAAATACACAGATATAAAACCAAGTATATAATAATTCATATTGAAAAGGTCGACAGAAATTTAAATTTTGTCCTTAAAAGTTTAGACTCTCAAAAAAATTACAAAATAAAGACCGCAAATATGAGAGTTATAACTTTGAGGATAGATATAACTGAAAGGGGATGAAGGAAATTTAAAAAAGAACAAATGACCTTTTTTACAATATAGGTTCGGGCTAACATAGACCCAAAATTTTTGTCATGTCCCGTACATATTTAGCCATTGAGAAGGGTAAGTGGGCTTTAGCAAGAGAATCAGAATAATCAAGTTGTACTACACAAAATTAATTATGATACCGAAATCTTCACACATCAAAATGTATAAACATATAAATATAAAACCAAGTATATAATAATTCGTACCGAAAAGGTTGACAGAAATTTAAATTTTGTCTTAAAAGTTTAGACTCTCAAAAAAATTACAAAATAAAGACCGCAAATATGCATCTCTCCGTGAATATATTGTAATTTGGACCATCTTCCTTTAATAACTTTCAAAACATTTCAGTGCATCTCTGAAATTATAAATCAAGTTCGTAGGCAAAAAGATTTAGGCCTATTTCTTAGAAATCAAGTTTTCTTCCTCTTTATCTTCTCCTTCTTTGAAAAAATAATTAATAAAATTAGTGTGGATGCATGGATACATCCAATATAAAATGTACACAGTGGAAAGAAATATCTAAAAGAAAAGAAAAAGACGAAGTTTACTTGTGGTGTATTTATTAAAACCTAGAATTCTTCTTCCTTTCTTTCATTTTTTTTAAAGTAGGTATTTAATTGTAAATTTGTTGTGGTGTATTTATTAAAACTATATTTTAATTGGGTTTAAACTGCTTGTACAGAAGCAGTTTCACAGAATTGCTACAGAATGTAGGTGTGGCAGAATCTGCTTTCATTTGTCTGTTTTTTTTTCACATTTTTCGGCAAATTGCTGACACTTAGCTTCTGGAGCAATTTTGGTAAGTATTTTTCTGTACATGTAGACTTGCTCTTTTAATTGAGGTGTGAATATAATGTGGTGTACTTAATAAATTTTGTAGTGGCAATATAATTACCCATATTGTAATTATGTTTTTTTTTATTGAAAAATGTAAAGTTACCATCTTATCCTTTCAAAATTTATCAATATTAATTATTTGGTCAACTAACAGTCAAAGTAACGGTTTTCATCCATTTGAATTTCAACTGCGAGTTTTTGAAATGTTTGGTATCGTAAGTAGCACAAATGAAAGGTTTGAGTCAAGTCTGCTAATAAAAGAAAGATTTGGTATCTCGACTGTAATTTTCCCTAATTTATATGATATATATATATATAATCAAACTCGAATCAATGGTTTGGGTTCAATTCCAATAATTCCGTGCAATCAAATGGTTTTATGTATGAAATACTCGAAGTGTAATAGGTGATTATAGATATTGAATTATCCTGATCGACTCATCCGACGTTTAAGCCTAGCTTTTTTCTTTTCATTTTTTTGATATACCTTTTAGTTTTTCAAGAAAATGCGAGTCTTTTTTAGGGTGGTGCCATAGTAGAAGCTTTGCATTAATTGCATTCATGCTTGTAAAAGATTTTGCATTATATTAACTTTGATGGTCATCGTAATATGTATTGAGGATAAACACTCCAAAATTCATTTTTGTCCGCTTTTCTTTTATCACTCAACAATGAGGATCTGTATTCAACAAGGTTGAATAGTCATATTAATGTCATTTTCTATTGTCATTTTAAAAAGTAATGAAACGTATTCTACATGTAGAATTGTTCCATGAAGAAATATTAATACATATCTGATGTTCAAATCACAAATTCTTATAGTGAACAAGAAAATGAAACAAAAAATAAATAAATTATGATATCAACTTCTCAACCGGGTCGAGCAATTTTGTTGATGAGGTCGGTTGCTAGGTTGTTGATGTGCTATGATCTTGGTTCTTTAAATTATAAAAATGAGAGGCATATTATAATTTTGAAAATTATGCCCGTGACATTAAACGACATCGTTGTACCTCGAAATATGTGACCGTTGCCTCCGTTTTCTGAAATCCGTAATCGTCCTTGCCCTCCCTGTGACAGCCTTTCTCCTTTTGATTTTCCTTCAATTATTACAATTGCGCAACTTGATGTTGTAAATCGCGTTTATCATTGCACTCACATATATATAAATGTACAGCATCGATACAGGAGAGGACCCCGACACCGACCCCACGGCCACGCTCAGTGCCTCTGTGTACTCTGCTGTCTCAGAATTGTCCATTTCATCTTTTTCCTATTGTGCATCATCACATCTTGCTCCTCTGCCATTAATGATTTTCCCAAACAGAAGAAAAAAAATCTTGATATATATACATACAGAATACATATAAATGATTATTGTATATGTATATATCACCATCTTCCAACTGTTAACCAAAATTATAGATGCATGCAGTTTCTTACGATACAATTGTGTGTCTTTGTGTGAATCCCATAAAATCATTTTGATTTAAACCCAAAAAGCTGAAAAGAATCTAGAAAAAAGGAAGAAGTTTGTATATGTGAAAATGGGGTGTGTACAATCAAAAATAGAAAATGAAGAATCAGTTTCAAGATGCAAAGAAAGAAGGAATCTGATGAAAGAGGCTGTTGCTGTGAGAAATGCATTTGCTTCGGCTCAGTCGGGCTACGCCGTATCCCTCAAAAACACCGGCGCCGCCTTGAGCGATTACGGTGCCGGAGAGGTGCCTCCGCCACTACCAGCTATGGCGGTGGGCCCCGGAGAACCATCTGTTACAGAGCGACCCCCTCCACCGCCGCCGCATTCTATGGTGGAGTCCAGTCTGCCTCCTCCTCCACCTCCACTCCCGAGGTTTTCCCCCCTCCCCCCCATCCAGCGTTCCATGACCATGCCTGCGGCGCTATCTCACTCGGAGAAAATGAAGAGAAAAATTAATGGTATTTCCATTGACGAGAGTGATGAAGAAGAAGAGGAGGAGGAAGAAGAGAAAGGAGGGCTGAATAGGAGGAAAAAAGGTGATGAGGAGGTGGGCCCTGAAACCCCGATAAGAACCCCTAATCCGCCCCCGCCACCGGACCTTAAAGGCGGGGCGTGGGATTATTTTTTCATGGGGGACAATATGCCTGGGCAGTCGTTGGACGAGGTGGAGGAAGAAGAGGACGAGGAGCGTTATATGGAAGGACAAAGCAATGAAAATGGGAATTTCAACAATGTAGGTGACAATAACATGGAGTTCAAGACGCCGGAGAAAAATGTAGGATTCCCGGCGGCTGAGGATTTCAGAACGCCTGAGGAGACGCCGGTGACTGAGGTAATGGAGAAGCAATTCGTTCATTCGAACACAGCACCACCTGGGATGAGTACAGGAGGTATTGGTAGTAGCGTGGATTTGTCAAAGATTTTGGGTGAGATTGATGATCATTTTCTTAAGGCTTCCCAAAGTGCACAAGAGGTGTCGAAGATGCTGGAGGCAACCCGGTTGCATTACCATTCAAATTTTGCTGATAATCGAGGTGATAATGTCATTTTGGCAGAGTACTATGCTTTTTAATTGAGTTCTTTGTGTGATACTTGTTATGGATGAGTTTTGTCCAATTACACCAAACATTTAAGGTTATTAGGTTAATTGTGGATGGGTTTCTTGTTCGAAATTGAATTTGCATTTAAATGAGGGGTTTACAGTGAATCTTATAATACTATCTGTGCTTTAATCTAGTATGAAGTATTTAAAGATACAGGTCTGGGGAAAAAAAATTGCTATAATAAACATTGACCTTGTTAGAAATCATTGCATTCACAAAAAGTGTTTCCTAATACTCGGGAGAGGCTGTGTACGGAAATCTAGTCCTCTTTCAGCAATTTATAGACACCTCCCTTGAGTTGGTCAGCTACTAGTTAAGTTTGTAGAGATTTTAATCTGTTACTCCATATATTTGCATTATTGGGTTCGTTTTTGGTTTCAAATTTTTAATTTTATTTTAATGGAGTGGGATTTTATTATGCTTATTTACATAATGACATTTCACATAATGTATTAGCCAATTAATAGATAAACGTTTGACTTCTGTGCACTCCAACATTTCAGGTTGTAATGAACGTTTGTTTTATATCGATATTCAACATGTATGAACTTGTGTGAAAGTTTCAATCTTTGTTACTCTTGTTATCATTAGTATTTTTCAGTTGTGGAGATTTTTCCCAACAGCATACAGAATGTTAGATGCTTGTAGGACCATGCTTGTTCAGCACTTCTAGTCTAAGTAGTTTATTCATTTGACTTGGTTCACGCATCACGATAGTGTTCTACATGAGTAATGTTTCATCCCCCAACCGTCACCCGACCAGAAAACTAGTGATCGGCATATGAAACACTGTATTTGTTTCTTCTTATTGGGTGTTTTGAGATAGAAATACTGTTCATGTTATGATCTGGTTATTAGTTCTATTTCATCCGGTTATTAGTTCTATTTCCATTATATAGACCTGCCACAGAAGATTTCTATTTCCACCTGAAGTACTAAAATGTTTGCCTTACTCTTGATTAAAACGTATTGAGGCAAAACCATATCCAGTTAATATATCCGCAGCCAGTTCTCTTACATTTTGATAATAATGTTTCTTATTCTTTAGGACACATTGACCATGCGGCGAGGGTCATGCAAGTTATTACATGGAACAAGTCTTTCAAAGGTGTACCAAATGGTGATGGCACGAAGGATAACTTGGATGCAGATGATTATGAGACGCATGCCACTGTTTTGGATAAGTTGCTAGCATGGGAGAAAAAGCTATATGAAGAAGTGAAGGTGTGTTATATTCTCTTAGTTTTATCATTTTATGTGTGCGTTTTTACTTCATACGAGATTTTTTTTTAATTTTCATTTTATCTTTCTGATTTGTAATTGATGTCTGTGGCAAGCTTTTCTTTTGGATTAAAACTTATTTTCTAACTCCCAGTGCAGTGGTAAACGAAAAAGAAAAAAAATGAAGAAGAACACACATTTTAAGTTGTTTACCATCTATGTTGACTCACTGCTGCGAATTTTTTTTACAATAATGACGGAGGAGATTACAAGTTTTCCTTACACCTCTTTATCTTATAACACAGAAAAAACGGCTCCATCAGATTCCTTTATATAGTGTATGAAACTAGTGTGACCTAATACTGAGGTATTAGTGCCCGATATACCCCTTCAATAAAAAAAACTTTGCCTGCTATCCCCCTGCGGCTCCACGCAATTCAACATTCATGTAATGTAATTGCATGTAGAACCATTTGATTGTGGCATTATGAAATGCTCTTTTGTTTGGATTAAAAACAAATGTTTAGCCACTTTTTCGTAACTTACTGCACGCAAAAGCTTGAATTCTTCCTTAGGTGTGGCCATGTTTATATATGTGATTAATTGATACAATTTGTTAACTTTTGTGCGCCGGTAGGCTGGTGAGCTTATGAAACTCGAGTATCAGAGGAAGGTTTCAGCATTGAACAAGCTGAAAAAACGCAATGCTAGTCCTGAACAGTTGGAGAGAGCAAAAGCTGCTGTTACTCATTTGCATACTCGGTATATAGTTGACTGGCAATCTTTGGATTCAACTGTATTAGAAGTGAATGATATACGTGACAAGCAGTTGTATCCAAAACTTGTTGCTCTTGTTCACGGGTAAGTTTCTGTTTTATTTAGTCCTTTGGCCAAAACTATCTCGATTGATTTATATGAAAACTTTTTGTATGCTAATTTACCCCCCCCCCCCCCCCCCCAAAAATTAAACTAAATATTGTCCCCAATGTTAAATTAAAAGAAAATGAGGAGGACATCCCTGAATTGTCTGAATTGCCAATGACAGTCTATGCTCTGACGTTGAATTTGATGGACGCTTCTTCTAACTTTTACCCCCAAACTTAAGATTTTTCATGTTCTTCTTGTCAAAGTTGGTATGATTATTCCGCAATGTCATGTTCCTAAAAAATCTAATTTAGATATTAAATACATGGAACAAGTGTTACTTAGTTCAAATATCAAATAACCAACTTGACTACTTATAAACCTAAGGGAAGACCCCCCCAATGAGGCTTTGGGTGTTGCCGTCGTATGTCTTGAGATAGTTTTTCATGTTTGACTATTTTGCATTTTCTTATTCTGACCGGGTGATTAAAATACCATAATGTAATCCAAATATTTGAAATTTAAATCATTAAATCATGCCAGTGAAACTTTTTTTGAGTGCTTGAATTTTTATTTTTTGACCCACCTATCTCATTGTCTCTCATAGTCTCGTGCATTCAGCACAAGTGAAATGCACCATAGTAATGATTTTATGTATCATATTAAAAGGTAGTAATGATCCTACCAGAAATTCGACTTCTTTTATTCGTTCACATTCTACCAGGTAATGCCCTTCCCCTTCTACCAGGCCGCTGTCTTCCTCGTCCATGCTGACAAGATATTTCTTCAATAAACATTATGCAGAGGAAAATCTTACCATGTATATTACTTTACATGTTGTATTGTTGAAGTCTCAAACTCATAATTCTAGTCGACTTTGAGATGAACAAACTTCAGTAAAAAAAGAAATGGTAAATTTTACTTGGTGCACAAGGTGTACACTACAATATAATGTTGTACTGTTGAAGTCTCAACAATACACAGCATGTTGCATCGTTGGTGTCTCAAACTCGTAATTCTAGTTGACTTTGAGACAAACAAATTTCAGTTAAAAAGGTATATCTTTCCTGGTGCAAAAATTGTACATTCTATTTTGTGACTCTGAATAACGTCAAATTTAAAATCGATGTAATTCATCATCTCGCTCCGTGTTCTGTGATCAGAAATCGAAATGCGCCACAATGTTTGACTGTTTAATATTGGTTCAGTTGCAACTTACTTTTTTCTTCATTTGAAGTTAAACCGATTATTGCCTACATTTCAATCAATTGAATAACCTGTTCCATATATAAATTTCACTGTTTCTGAACCTGGCTCAGGAAACTAATTTCTCAATATATTTATGGAAACAGTTTGCTTCTCTATTTTACTAGTTATTTGTCGTATAATTTGCTTTTCTTCTTCCTGGGATAGCTAAGTTGTTTGAAATTCTCAATCGAGGATAATATCAGTTTAATTGATATCTCTTAAATCCAAATACGGGATGAGCCCTTTATTTGCTTTCTGCATAACACTGGAGTTTTTTTTTTTCAATGCCATCATTTTAGTTCAAAATTCCTTTTTGCCGCTGAACTGTATAATGATCTCATATTTACTCTCTCTGTAAAGGACATTGGTTAGTTTCTTTTTCCATTTTTCTTTTATTATGTCTTGATTGTTATTTAACTATATTGCAGGATGGCGAAGATGTGGGAATCCATGTGCAAGCATCATGACAGCCAGCTAAACATTGTTGCCGAACTCAAACCCCTTGAAGTTTCGGGAACTCCCATTGAAACAAGCAAACATCATCACGAGCGTACAATCCAGCTTTGGAGTATCGTCCAGGAATGGCATTCGCAATTTGAAAAGCTTGTTACTAATCAAAGGCAATACATCCAAGCCCTTAACAGCTGGTTGAAGTTAAATCTTATCCCAATTGAGAGCAGCCTAAAAGAAAAAATCTCATCACCCCCAAGAGTTCAGAAACCTCCAATCCAGCCTCTTCTGATTTCTTGGCACGACCAACTCGAGAAGCTTCCAGATGAGGTTGCCAAAAGCGCAATTTCTTCCTTTGCTGCTGTGATAAAGGCCATTATTGACCATCAGGAGGAAGAAATGAAGCTGAAGGAGAAGTACGAAGATACCAGAAAAGAGCACATGCGAAAAAACCAGGCATTCCAAGAATGGTATCAAAAGTACAGCATGCAGTACAGAACCCCAGACGAGGCTGACTCGGAGAAAGCCGTGAGCTCCAACACCAAGGACCCCCTTTCTGACAGACAGTTTGTGGTAGAAAGCTTGAAAATGAGGATGGAAGAGGAAATGAAAGATCATCAGAAACTCTGTATTCAAGTGAGGGAGAAGTCACTTGGGAGTCTAAAAATCCGGTTGCCTGAGTTTTTCCGAGCTTTGTCTGACTATGCTCATGCGTGCTTTGATTCTTACGAAAGACTGAGATTGCTTACACTATCGCAGCATCATGTGAACCGGGGTTCATAGTTGTTTTTCTATTGCATGGTGGACTCCAGTGTGTTCATGGAGGATTGTTTTCTATCTTAAAAGTTTGTGCAACTCTAGGGAGAAGTTTTTATTAGCGTGTAGTGTACTCCCATTTATGGTTCTCTTGTGAACACATCCTCGATTTAGCCTTCATTCTCTTTCATTTTTCTTATCTTATTTTCAACCACATAATTTTTCATAAAATAATATTATACGTGAATTGAAAATTTTTCATTCTATTTCAACCACACATTCTTAAAAAAATACTCTTTCAAGCATTAAAATTTGGGAAAAAAATAGGGGCCAAACGGGAGCTTAACTTATTTGGTGTTGGAAGGCAATCCATTGGCAGTTACTAGTTTGTAAAGTAGAGTTGGTCCGACCTGGCCTATGCCGACAATACTTGGGCCATATCGTGTTGACAGCCCACGTAGGTTGGTCAACACTGACTGGCCTACGGTCTGTTGTGGGTTAAGAAGGGCCAAATTCTTTTAATGAAATTTTTTTTAATTAATTAATATATTTAAAAATTTATTAAATAAACAATTTCAAACCTAATTATCTCCTCTCTCTCTTTGCGCAATCTCAATTCACTTTCTCTCTCTCAATTCCCTCCTCTCTCTGTGTCCAAAATCTCGCCGTCGCCGGACAAGTGGTCATCGGAAGATCACGGTCAATCGGTACCGGGAACCATAGCAGATGGTAGTCGTGGAGATCTTGGTGGTGGCAGCAACTCGAAGAAATCAACTGCGATGTGGTGTTTGCGCTGCCAAATCTTACGCCCCTGTTCCGATAATTATTTATCGGCGAACTCAGTCCCAACACCTCCAGTAGTGGATGATATTCCCCTACTGTTTTTTTGCACGGCGACAACGTCAATCGACGACTGCTGATGGAAGTGTAGCCGTAGAAGGAGTTCTGTCAATGATGCAAGTTTGTGGTGGTGATGTGGTGCAGGATTTGGTTGTTGACGGTATTGAAGTGGTAGTGCTTACAGTGGGGAGAGCTGGTTTGTTGTGGATCTAATTTGATGAGGTTTTTGTGACTGTGGCTATGATTTTTTGGATCTTGTAGGTGGCGGTGATTTTGTTGCGGTGGCAAGGTGGTGGTGCCGTTGGTAGTCCAGTTAGATGTTGGTGATGTTGGTGGCGCGGCGATTGCTGGGAACTCTGGTGATAAGGCATTGGTGCAAAGGTGACTGTGGTGGTCGTGGCGGTGGTTGTGGTGGTTTGGTTGATTTTGTGACAAATAATTGGACCCGTAACATGAAAATTGTGATTATAACTCCCAATTATAACTCACAGTTTGATCACAATTTGAGAGTCACAGTTGGTCGTGGCAGTGGTTGTGGTGGTCATGGCAATAGTTGTGGCTGTTTGGTTGATTTGTGACTCATAATTGGATACATGATCTGAAAATTGTGACTATGACTCAGAATTGAATACGTGACCTGAAAATTGTGACTGTGAATCGTAAGTGTTGATGGTGGTCACAAATTATTTGGTTGATTGTGACCATTAAATTGGTTAATCTGTGACCAATAAATAATATGTGACTAATGGAAAAGATAAATTATGACCGAAAAATAATGTGTGACCAAAAAAATTGTTAATCTGTGATCAATAATTTGATAATTTGTGAGTGTATAATAAGTTGTGACTTGTAATATTTGTGATTTGTGACTAATAAATAAATCGTGACTTATAAATTTTTCGATTTGTGATCGATGAACAAACTATGACCTATAAATTTTTGTTTTAAACTTGCAAATGATAGCGTAACGTATGGTATTACCCTTTAAAGAATTCACTATCTTTTTTTGGTATTATCCAATATTACCCGCAGAATGTGCAGTTGAAGGTTTTTACTATGACAACCTCTAAATAAACAACTTTGATAATTGGAAAAAAGTGCTTCGAAGTTGGAACGAGTGTTGATCCCATGTCTTAACATTTACACATCTTAATCACATTGCTTTATCTAATTTTCGATTGAATTACAAAATAGTAGTTTTAGTCAGAAATCGAGCATCGTACTAAAAATGAATAAAAGATTTTCATATTCAACCTAGATCGAGAATGACAAGAAAACTAACACTGATTAGAAATTATATGTTGTTTCGTTTTTCAAAAAGTAAACATTAGTCCAACGAAACCTACAAAAACTGATAAAATGGAAAACTTAAAAAAAGTGCTACACAACTGCATATTCTTCTTCACACCCTACTACCCTTGCATGGTAATTCTAATGAGTTAATTAAATGATAAATCATCAAGTTTGGTTACTATTTGCTGACCCACCTTTACATAACGTTATTCATACATCATCTATTTAAAGGATTTTACTACATGTACATCAAACTTTACATAGGGATTACATAATGCCATACGTTACGTTATCATTTGCAAGTTTAAAACAAAATTAACTTTTTCGTCCAATCTTTTCCCTCCACATTATTTTATATAATACTTTATGTACATTTTTTATGTACAAATAACATAATCCCTATTTAAATTTCGTTCATCCATGTAAAAAAAATCTTACGTGACGGATGGAAATCGTTCATGCCTATTAACGGTGTTAAAATTTGGAAGTTAGTTAAATGAGTAATTACTAACATTTACCTCTTATTAGTGTTTGCTCATTCAAAATTAAATAATTTTTACCTTGGGTTATTGTTTGCTCATTCATATGTAAAATGTTTTTGGTTGCTCACTCATATTTACACACTGTTATCCATCCATCATTCATCTCAATTTTAATTTTGTACCATTCAATTTGTTTATATGATTTTTGCAAATTACGTTGGTCATTCTATTTTCCTCATTTTTTCTGTTCTTCAAAATTTTTTTTAGATTTCATTGTCCAATCCGTCTATATTATTTTTGTGATTTTGGACATTGTCATAACACGATATCATGGACGATCACCTAAGCAAGGACAGAGCCCAATAGAGTTGAGTGAACTTTGGGCTCAACCCAATCCATTTCATATATATATATATATTTTTTTTTTTTAATTTTTTTTTACACATTGGCAGGTGTTTAAAGACCACTCTTCAAAATTCATATGCAAAGTTTGATTAATCAAAAATCAGGTTGATAATTATATATTTTAATAATAATAATATTATTATATTATAATTAATCAATCAGGCCAATTTATCCCCAATACGGCGATACCATTTCCCCATTTCAAAACCTAATTGGCTGAATCTCTCTCTCCGCTCTCTTAACTCGCTGCTCTCTCTCATTCAAGTTCGCCGTCATTTGTCCGGCGAGACGAGAGCCACTGCTGTAGATTTGCCTTTTCTGCGGCGAGACAAACGCAGAGGTGTGTGGGGGCACTGCACGTCATCTGTGAAGAAGCAGTGCGTCCCACTTCTTTCCTTCTCTCTATCGCCACCGCGAGAAACACTGCACGGTACACGTCAACACCTCTGATGCAATCGCGTACAGTGGCGTCATCAACTGTTGATGCTGTTTGTGGTGGTCTAGGTCTGGGTTGGTCTTGTGTGGGGTTTTAGGTAGTAGTGGTGGTTTGGGGTTGTTTTGGTGTTGTTGGGGGGTTTTGCTGGCGGCGTTGGTGCATTTGGAGGTGTTGAAGGTGGTGGTGGTGGTCGACGATGGTGATGGTGGTGCGGGGTAGGTAGGATACAGGCGGTAGACTGTAGTGGTGAGTTTGCAACGGATTGGTGTGATCCGTTTGTGGTGGCGTTGCTGGTGCGGTGAGGTGATGGTGGCATTTATAGTTATGCAAGTGGCGGCAAGGGGGTGATCGTGCAGGTGTGGTTGAAATTTTCTCCGATTTACTGTGTTTTACCAATTCGTGGTGTTTCTCCGGTGGTGATGGTGGGGGAAGTGTTGGTGGTGGTGTATGTGACCTTTGGTTAAATATGTGACCTTAAAATTGGGTGTGTCGTGGTGGTGTTGTGGCGGGGACGAGGTATAATAGTGATTGTGACGAACCATTTGGTTGCTCTGTAACCAAAATATTGGTGTTGATTTGGGTCTGTGACCAACTAAATAAATTTTGACCGTAAATCATGACTTTAAAATTCGATCAACTGTGATTAAAATGTAATCTGTAACCATTGAATTTGAAAATATGTGACCTGTGACCTATACAATTTTTGATATGTGATTTCGAAATAATTTGTGACCTACAAAATTTTTGATTTGCAACTTCGAGAAAATCTGTGATCAATTAATTTGATGATATGTGATCAGTAAAAAAATATGTGACCTATAATTATGTTCATGTGACCATTAATTGTATAAATGTGACCTCATTATATTTAATTAATAAAAAAATTTAATTAATTAACTAAAAACCTAATTTTTGCATTAGTCAAACTTAAAACTTGGTTCTTGAACTGCGCATAGTTAAACCATGATTTGTGAATTCTTCCCCATTTTTTTTTGTATTAGCTTATTGGACTTTCCAATCATCGACCCAAAGAAAAAATTAAAACAAAAAAAATTTGTCACTCACCTAACCCAATTTCCAAACCCAGAGAGGTGACATCATTCTAAACTGACCTCCTACTACACCAACTTATAAAATGAAGTTGAAATAAATAAATGATGCTATTCTATGAGGAATTTTCAACAGGAGTGATGGGAGTTCTAAAAAGGGATTCTTTTTATTTGTTGTTGTGCATCGACATTACTATCTAGTTAACTTGAAGGTATTGTACAATGATATCAAAGTATGAAAACTCGCAAGGAAGAAGTATAATTTATAAACTATATCATTTTTAGTATTATCGTAATATTATTTTATAATTTTGTCATTATTAAATCCATAGCCAAAAACTCAAATTTCGATATTAATTAAATTGTGCCTGCACTGAACAATGTTTCTGACTCCGCCCCTGCACCTAAGTAGCCTTATTCTTGAGACGGCTCTACATCCACTCGCTAATTCTCCATCATGTCAAGCAGGAAATAGAAATTTATTTTATCACGAAAAAACAGGAAAACAAATTCAAAAAAATTGTAAACAAAAACATCAAGGTGACAGAATTTGTAAAATGAGAATCAAACAAATTCCTAGAAAACACAATTGACGAAAATGAATGAATAAAAAATAATTTGAGAAAAATAATATATATAAAAAATGAGGAAAATAAAAATCATATAGACACACTGGATAGTAAAAAGTGAAAATAATTTCAGAAAATTAATTATTAGTTGATGGAATTCGTAGAAGTAAAAATTAAAGAAATTAGAGCTAGCAAAAGTAATTTGTGAGTTTCGTAGAATTAAAAACATGATAATCATATCAATAGACCGCACAATAAAAATTAAAAATAAATATTTTGGAAGAAAAAAAATGAGGAAAAATAGAATGAGAAACTAATTTGGCAAAATCAATCCAAAAACCATGAAAATCAATATAAAAAATTGGATGGTATAAAAAACAAAATTGAGATGAATGATGGATGAGTAACATTGTATAAAAGTGAGTGATCGATAGCCTTTTATTTTTCATTGAATAAGCAGTATGTTATTTAATTTTGAGTGAGCAAGTAGTAACCAAAAATAAATGTTTGTGATTATTCATTTAACTTTTAAATTGTAACACTCTTAATTATCACGTAAGATTTCCATTTGTCACACATGATTTTTTTGGCCACGTGAGCAAACTGAAACTAGATAGATGATGGGTGGGTAATATCATGTAAAGTGAGTAAACAACTGGTAACCTTCTATTTTTGAACGAACAAGTAGTAACCAAAGATAAATGTCGGTGATTAAGTATTTAATTAACTCTACTTCTAATTATTGCTATTATTATAAAAATATTGTAAAATCTTTATTTATATGTACTATACATACAAATAAGTTCAAATTGGTTGTCCCGAATTTGTTGTCATTTTCATTAAAGTTTTTACATTTTGACATATCAATCTCTTTTTAGCAAACATGAAGACGCCGACATGATTTTTCTGACACATTGTTACATTACTAAGAAGATGTGATGCTTCAAGGTTTCAATTATGTATTAGAAGGATAGCAAACTCGAAATCCCAAATCTCAACTTGTGAGGTGTATTGTTCCAATTGGACTTGCTATTATAAGGATAAGAATATATTTTAGTTTATTTATTTCCTTATCTAAATTGATCGGAAGTATGGTCTTCACATCTCATAAACGAGAAGATCGTACTTTAGATGCTTTTTAAAGTATGTTTGATAAGAAATATTGGGTAAAACTAAAAATTAACTTATTTCTCTCTTTATAGTTTTTATATAAAGTTATAAACTTATTCTCCTAATACCATTTCTAACTTTTAATAAAAATGGGAAGGAGGGTCTACTATTCATACAATAGTAAATGAATCCAATTTTACTATGATGTTATTTTTTATTTTCCATTTTGTTTATATCAAACAGATATTCTTCCACACATCATCCAACTAATATTAGAAAAATAATTATTTCAAACAAATGTTTTTCCACACATCATATCACTAGCATTAAAAAATAATAATAATAATTTTAGTAAATATAAAATGTCATGAGCAAAAAAAAAAAAAAAACTCTTCGCACATGAGCTTTAAAAGAAACAAAACAAAAACTCTGCGCACAGTTCGGAGAGATAGCAAATTATGTGCTGAGTAAAAAAGGAAAAAAACTCTCCGCATAGTACGGAGAGATAGCAAACCATGTGCAGAGAGTTGGCAAACTGTTCATACAGTGCGAAGTAAAAAAAATCTCTCCACATAGTGCGGAGAGATGGTAAACACCATGACAAAACTCTCCGCACAGTGTGGGCACTGTTCTCACAAAGTGCGGACTCTCCGTACAATGCGGAGTAAAAAAAGAAAAAAATTTCGCACAGTGTGGAGAGTTGACAAACTCTCCGTACAATGCGAAGTTTAAAAAAAAAACATCTTCGCACAGTGACTGTCATATGCGTTGCACGAATTTTGTATTTATCATATTTTTATTAGTGTATGAATTTTGGTTTTTTGGAAAATTTTGAAGCAATATCTAAAAATATTTTCATGATATAAGAAAATAATTGCAAATTATTTTTACAATTATATAACAATATTGTGTTATCTAGAAAATAATTTACTTGTATATTTCATACTTGAATAAGAATTTATGAGATTATACAAATTATTTTATTTGTATTCTTTGATAGTGTTGATATGATTGAGTTGAATGTCAAAATTATATTTCTAAATTTTGTGTAATTCAATATCGAAAAATTGAAGATTGAGCACCATATTCATATGCATTTATTTATATTTTGTACTTCATATATATTAAATTTATTTTATACTTATGGTGAAAAAATAAAAATCTGAATTTTTTTTTTGAAATTTAGTTTGGTAAGTGAATATGCAATATTCTGCATTCTCGATACTTGTAAATGCAAAAATCGGTATATAAAAATACAGTAAGTTGCAAATACGGTAGACAGAATATACGGTAAGTTGCAAATATGGTAGGCAGCATATACGATAAGCTGCAAATACAGTAAGGTGAAAATACGGTAAGTTGTTTGCAAATACAGTAGGCTGAAAATACGGTAAGTTGCAAATACGGTAGGCAGCATATATGGTAAGGTGCAAATACGGTAAGCTCTTTGTAAATATGGTAGACTGCAAATATGGTAAGCTGTAAATACGGTAGGCAGCATATACGTTAAGCTGTATATACGGTAAGCTGCATATATGGATTTATAATTTGTTATAAATGTATAAAATTTATTTAATATTGAATTTCTTAAGTATTAAATGTTGTAATTCAATACTGTTTCCTTTTTTATAATTGTATTTCCGAGAATTTAAAAAAAAAAGTTATGAAATTGCTAATTTTTAAATGTGTTTTTTTGTTGAAAATAAAAAAATGATTTTTTAATATCATTTGTAAAAATTTTTTTATTGTAATTTTATTAATGCAAGAAGAAGACTTATTAGGCATTTTTATTTTTTGCATTTTGTGAAGAATTTTGTTTATGCTGATTGACAAATATTCTTCCGCACACACATCATGCCAACAACATAAAAAAATAATAATAATTTTTTGTATAAATAAACTCCATGAGACAAAAAAAATTCTCCGCACATGAGAAAAAAAGTTTCCGCAAAGTGCGAAGAGATGACAAACCATCTCTCCGCACAGTGTGAAGAGAAAAAAAAAACTCTCGGGACTTATCTGCAAGTTTCAAGAGGCCTTTCCTCAAAAAAATTTTGAGCAATGCATTGAACACTTTAATTCCTGGCCCACAACTCGAAAGTATAATTTCATTGAAAATTGTATCCACTTCTAATGTCCAAGAGTTGTTATCAAGCAAGTGTAAAATATTGATTTTGGGTGGTATCCTAGAACCTCCATTTGTGAAAGCAATGTCATGATAATATCAATATCCCCTTCTTTGCACAACTCACATATTGTTTCATTATATGAATCACGAGAAAACTCCTTTTCAATACCGTAAATATGATTTGCATGCTTATAAATTGAGTTGTGATTGTAATTTAAAGAAGACATAATTGATTTTGAGCCATGTTTTTCAACTTTGTTTCGTTGTATATACGAAAAATTTACAACCTTTAAATTTGTCTTGTAATTAAGGAGTTTGAAAACAACTCTCCGCACTATGCAGAGAGTTTTTTTCTCTTTATACTGTGGGAGAGCTGGTTTGTCATCTTTCCGCACTGTACGGAGAGTTTTTTTTTACTCCGCACTGTACGAAGAGTTTGCCAACTCTCCACACATGGTTCAACTCTCTCCGTATTGTGTAGAGAGTTGTTTTTTCTCTCCGCACTGTGCGGAGAGTTTTTCCATGGTGCGGACCAACTCTCCGCACTGTGCAAAGAGATTAATTCTCTCTGTACTGTGCGAAGAGTTGGTTTGTCATCTCTTCGCACTGTGTGGAGATGTTTTTTTTTACTCCGCACTGTATGAAGAGTTTGTCAACTCTCCACACATGATTCAACTCTCTCCGCACTGGGCGAAGAGGTTTTTTCTCTCCGCACCTTTTTTTATTTTTTATTTTTACTCCGCACTTGGTTCAACTTTCTCCGCACTGTGTGGAGAGTTTTTTTTTTTTCAATTTTACAATATTGAATTACACACAATTTAGAAATATAATCTTCACATTCAATTCAATCATATCAACACTATAAAAAAATACAAGCAAAATAGTTTGTATATTTATTATTCAAGCATAAAATATACAAGCATATTTTTTTTAGATAACATACTGCTATGCAATTGTAAAAATAATTTACAATTATTTTCTTATATGATGGAAATATTTTTAGATATTACTTCAAAAACTTATCAAAAAAACTAAAATTCATAAATTAATAAAAATACGATAAATACAAAATACGTGCAACGCACGTGATAGGGACTAATAGTTATAAAATATTGAAAAATAAGAAGTTGATTATCAGTTAACCTATGGGCTACAATTTGACCTTATTGAAAATGAATTTAATTCCTCCTACGATTTTTCTTGTAAAGACACATATTTAACATTGAATTTTGTTATTTGTACAATTGGGGTTGACAAATCTCTCACATGGGACGGTACTATCAACCCCGATTACACAAATAACACAACTCTTTAAAATTACTTAATAATCGAGTAAATTCAATTGTACTCGACTACTTAGATCTAATGATTAAGATGGTCGAGTTTAGTACTCAACAACGTTCACCAAATAGTCGAGTTGCTCCAGTGTAGTTTGGTAACAACCATAGTTTGATTATGTTTTTAATTCATGTAAAGGTCTGTTCGACTCGATGATTATATTAATGGCTTATTTACTTTTTAAAATTATTTTTTTGTTTAAATTGTTTTCTATTGATCCAACAATAACTGAACACGTGTCCCGATAGTCAGTGAAGAAGATGAGTGACGATTAAGAAAAGGAAAATGTAAGAAAAAATAAAGTTACCAGACTCAATTGAAAATTTGCTACAAGTCCAGTGACTATGAAACCATTTCTAAATTTCACTCCCCAAACCCCTGATTATTCATCGGGAAACCCTGATCGTACAAATTGAGTCCTAGCAGAAATCCAATTTGTACTCGAAACCAACGTTATTATACAAATTACAACACATGCACCAGAGACTGGAAAATGGCATTCAGGTTAAGAGAAATGGTGAAGAAGATAATAAAGAAAATTGAGGGAGACGAGAATTTAGCGCCTGGAGTGAAAGAGCAACTCAAGAAATTTGCGCCCGATACCAAGGTCGTCATGGGCCGGGCTCATCGTGGGCTTTACGCAGGCCGCCACATCCAGTTCGACAATCGCGTCAGTGAAGACGGCAGAAACAAGTCAGTATATCATTTGTGTTTTCGGGTTCTGTGTGTGTGACACACCTACCTGTGAGAATACTGTATAATTTGTGGGTTTTTTGGTATTTTTATATTTGAGTGGTTTGGGAGATGGAATAATTATGATATTTTGGTGGGTAAATGAATATATTTTTCGGGAATGGATTGTGAATTTTAATTGGTTAGTTTAATGGAGTTTGCTAGATTTTTTTTTTGATAACCATGGTGTCCGGGACAGCTTACGCGCACCTCGACTAATTCCACGAGGCCCTGAAGTTTACAGCTAGATACTCATTTCAGTGCCCTCACGGGAAGAGTTTGCTAGAATATTATCATATCATGTCCTGTAATATCTGAAAATGCTCATTCTATGTTGGGCAGTACGGCATTGGGGCCTCGGAATCAAAATTTGAGAAATTTTGAGTTAAAATTGATTTGATATGTTAGGAACTTTACTTGAATGCCCTATTCCTGACTGCCAAATTTATGCATACAGAGTTTCTGGGAAATCTAGGACTGGGTGAGGTAATTAATTCTTTTTTTTTAAATCGATAAATGTAAATATATTGATAAAAAAACGTTCCATATACAAGTACACTGTGTATATCCGGGCAAAACACAAGCAAATATCACAAACAAATATACCGGGCATCCTCGAGTGGTACAAAAGTAATTGAAATACAAAAAAGATCAATGACCCAATGCCAAGGATTCGAAATGGATCAAGACATCCGGATAAAAAGTAAACATAATTTTGTATACATGTGTCTTGATCCGTCTCACAATGGAATCCAAGTCGTGTGAGAGGTCTTCAAATATCTTCCTATTCCTTGTAAGCCAAATGTAGTAAACAGCGCTTGCAAAAGCAATCCTCTTCGCCTTACTTAGCCATGAAGTCTCACGTGCCTCCTTTTTCAACCACTTAAGAGCACTAACAAGTGTTGATATAGATCTCGTAATGCCGAGCTATCGCCTAATGTTCCTCTATAAGGTAGATGCGAAGGAACACTTAAAGAAAAGATGGTCACAAGTTTCCACAAAAATCACACTTACGATCAATATCCAAGAAGAGTAATTTGTCTTTAGTTAGGAGCTTTGATTGGGCCCCTAACCAAAGCATAAAAGAATGCTTTGGAATGATGCACGATTTCCAAACTTTGGCTCCCGAAGTCTTGAAAGTACCTTTAGGCCTAAAGAAATTATAGGCAATTTTTGTACTGAATTTTCCACTTGTAGAACAGCCCAGATTTTCATTCCAAAATTGCAGAAACTGCCTCCCTAATGAAGGATTCTGCCTTACTGAACTGCCATCCCAGTTCTGCCCATTAACCGGCCAAATTAGTACATTCCCAGCATTGTAAATTCGGCCATGAACAGGCTGCCGTGAAGGGGCAATTCCAGCATCCATATTACCCGTTTTCCCTTGCTGTCCATGAAATGAAAACTGGTGGGCAGCAGCATTTACACAAAGAATGTCCCTGATTTCGAGAAGTTTCTTGAAAAGTGGAGAATGATCCTTTCTATTACAAACCTCTCATATGCAAGTCCCATTAAGATAAACATGATGGATCCACCAAATTCATAGGGAGTCCTTTTTATTGTGAATGTTCCAAAGAGATTTAGCAAGTAACGCTAAATTCCAACTCTTCAAGTCCTTTAATCCAAGGCCCCTTTCCTCCTTTGGAAGGCAAATATTCTTCCATACAACTAATGGCTTTTTAGATCCCCAAAGGAATTTTCGACAGAGGCTAACAATCCTAGATATAATTATAGTCGGAATAGGAAAAATAGAGAGCCAAAAACATTCAACTCCTTGAAGAACCGCCCTTATAAGTTCAATCTTGCCTGCATAAGATAATGTAGAAGAATTCCATGCACCAATATATGTTGTTATTTTGTCGAGAAAAGGAGCATAACAACTTACTTTATGTTTTTCCGATGCAAGGGGATGCCCAAATACCGAAATGACATACTTCCCCTCGGAACACTTGTTAATTCCATGATATCCTCAAGAAGTTGTCCATGAACACCAGCTGTAAACAAGCTGGATTTGAGAACACTCATCTTTAATCCCGAGACCGAGCCAAAATTTGAAAGGAAATCCATGAGAATTTTAACCGACATAAAATCTCCACTCGTAAATAGCATCAAATCATCCGCAAAAGCTAAATGGTTGATCTTTTGGGGGCCACATTTTGGGTGAAAGTTGAAATCGCTATCAAATGTTTCAGCTTTAAGCATTCTCGAAAGGTATCCAATACAAAGCACAAATAAGAAGGGAGAAATGGGGTCATCTTGCCGAAGACCCTTCTCACCTTTGAAAAATCCATGCAAAGTCCCATTCAAAGTAATAGAATATGATGTAGAAGTGACACATTCCATAATCCAATGAACAAATCTTGAGGGAAATTGCAATCCATAAAAAATATCTCGAAGGAAATTCCAACTTACCGAATCATAAGCCTTCGAAAGATCAATTTTTAAGAGGCAGCATGGAGCAACCCTTTTCCTATTGTATTGCCTCAAGAGTTCTTGGGCAAGATGAATGTTCTCCATGATACTCCTACCTTCCAAAAAAGCGGCTTGCGCATGATCAATAATGTCTCCAAAAATGGGTCTCAATCTAGAAGCAAGTATTTTAGCAACCACTTTGTAAGTAACATTACAACAAGATATGGGCCTAAAATCACCAACATGCAGCGTGTGATCCGATTTAGGCACCAAAGCAATTGCCGTGTGATTAATTTGTTTGAGGATGCAACCCGAAGAGAAGAACTCCAAAATAGCCCCAACAAAATCATCACCAATAATCCCCCAAGCATTCTTAAAAAAAAAAGAAGAAGTATAACCATCTGGCCCAGGAGATTTGTCATCACTGATATCAAAAAGCGCATCTTTAATTTCCTCATAAGAAATGTCCCGAATCAAGGCGTTACCTTGTTCCAAGGAAACCAAGAGACCATTTGTAAGAATATCCATGTCAATAGGCCGAGAGGAGCATTTCTTTCCCAGCAAAGAATTATAAAAATTTACAAATTTTCTAGCCACTTCATCTTGTGATGTAGTATACATCCCATCTTTTTTGAGTACGGTAGCAATAAAATTCCTCTTAAAATTCATTTTAACCAATGAGTGAAAGAACTTTGTGCATTTATCACTTTGCTTAAGGAAGACACACTTTGGCTTTTGGTAGTAAAAACTACGTTCCGCTTCACATAAAGTAACGGTCTTTTTCCTCAATTTCGCAACCAAAACTTGAAAATCAGCATTGTAGGGCTGACTATGGAGCTGTAATTGGGCAGACTCTAAATCATTTTTGGCCTCACTTGCTCTACCCGAAATATACCCAAAATGCTTAAAATTTAGCTCCTTCAAATCACCATTTAGTTTGCCCAATTTCTTGCAAAGGATAAATTGTTTTGTCCCTCGCAAGTAAAAATTCCAGCAAGGTCTAATCAAATCATTGAAATCCACATGCTTGGTCCACATGTTAAAAAACTTGAAAGGGATTTTTGCTCTACCCACACGGTAATGTATAGAAACAATGCAAGGGAAGTGGTCGGAGAGGCATCCGGAAGGTAGGAAATTTGCTTCAACAAAAGCCCCATTTTGTATCCAAACATCATTTACCATTACCCTATCAATTTTGCTCCAAACCGACCCATTAGTCCACGTGTAAAAACAACCAATGGAGCGCACATCCGTAAGACCCACGTTAAGGCAACAATTTGTAAGATTTTTAATTTCATAAGGGGTAAATCTGCCCCATTGCATTTCTCATCAAATTTAAGAACATTGTTCTAGTCACCCATAATTAACCAAGGTAACGACACATTTTCATTGAGCTCCATAATGGTGTTCCAAAGAGGCCTTCGGTTTACCATAGTGTGAAATCCATATACAAAACTCACAAGAAAAGCATAAAAAGTTACCTTTCAAGTAGCTTTACAATGGATAATTTGTGGATGAACCTCCATTACATCCAAAAAAAACTTTGGATGGATTCCACAAAATTAAGATTCTTCCGACTCTGTGTGCAAAAATTATTTACTTGCATAAAGCCATCGAACTTATTCCACAAAATCCTATTCAACTTTCGGTCCCCCAACTTCGTTTTCAAAATTGTCATAATATCAATGCTATGAAGCTTTATAAACTCTCGAATCCCATTTTGTTTGAGGGGTGGATTCATGCCCCTAATATTCCAAGAAGCGATCTCCATGATGAAAAAGCAAGGGATGTTCCCTTCTTCTCGAATCCCGACTTCTTTTTCTCCTCAACTTTGCCTTTTAGCTTTTCATTTCCAGCTTTAGAAGAGCTTGCTTCAATGGAGTTGGTAGGTAAATCGTTTCCAAATTTTCCAGGCTGAACATGAGCAGATTTTTCCCCCAACAGCCCTATTTTTCTTGCTCACTACCTTCTCAAACGGCACCTCAACCTGGGCAGTTTTATCCACCAGCTGGCTGTCCAAAGTTTCTACAGTAAGCTGCCTAGAATTTCGATGATGTTGCTGGCCAATCTGCCCATCCAAAGCCATGATATTTTGTTCCTCAATTTGTTGCTGCATACACGCTACCTGATCAGCTGACTTCTGGGCATTAGAGGCTGATTTTCCATCTTGTCCATCTTTCCTTTGGTTAGAACCGGCAGCCTTACCTTTACCTTTCTCCCCACCAGAATTTTTATTGTTGCAACCCGTAGTCGAGTGACCGAACACTTTACAAGAACCACAAAATTTTGGTTCATGCTCGAAAACAATTTCTTGTTCCCTTAACGTGCCATTGGGGAGCCTAATCTTGACCTCCCGCACAAGTTCAATGGAGGCATCAACTTCAACAAGTGCTCTCGCAAAGGAAAGTCGACCTCTAGTAGCCGTCACTTTGTCTGTTGAGATTGGTTTCCCAACTTTTGAAACAATTTTACCCAAGGCATTAGTGTTCCAAAATTCCAAGGGCAAACCCGGTAAGTTAATCCACACGGACATTGTACTCACATCTTTA